ACCTCTACTAGGAAAGAAGACCGGGCAATCTATTTTTGTAAAGATTTACTGCCTTGGAAACCCAAAGGGGATCGCCATGAATTGGAATTGACTCGACGGCAGTGAGTTTGGCTTGGTTTTTTGGTTAGTAGCACCTCTCAAAGCAATTTCCTAAATATAAGAGGTTCTTGTTTTCTTTGGCCCATGCCTTAAGGCTTTCAAATCTACCAATAAATGCCACATCCATACTATTGATCTGAGTATGTAAAGTGTAAAGTCGTAGGGAACTTTGTGCACTCATTTTTTATCATTTGGATCTAAAGAGTTGGCTTTTTTTTTTTGCTTGCAAACAAGAAAATTCTTGCTACAGTCCATCTTTTTTGTCTTTTCTATCATCTTTCTAAGTGCAGACAGTTAACAGCCAACACTGTCTACATCCCATTTTTCAACCTCTTTTCCTAGAGGGTCAGTAGGCACATTGGTCTCTCTTCCAAGTAATTGCAAATGACTATTTTAACAATTGTTTTGCCACTGCATTGCATGCATCTCCAGTTTTCCAGCCCTGGATTAAGTTTTCATACTATCCACTTGCTAGACAAATGCCAGGTCTTCAGGTAAGTAGGAATAAGCAACCAGTGCCAGGCAAGATAGAAAGGAAATCATTCAAGTACTAGAAGCAAGCATGGGTGATTCTTTTGCAACTCAGAGTAAGGAAGGATTTTCTTCGATTCAAAATACAGATGCAAAAATTAAATAAATGGAAAAAATTTATTGCTTTATTAAGATACACTTGAATACAATCAAATAAAACAGCCTTTGCATGACACAAACAACATACACAAAATCAAAAGATAATTTATAAACTGGAATTTTAATGTCTATATTCGTATCTATATTGATAAAGGGTATTGATCTGTAGATTTCTTGTGATGTATTATCTGGTTTTTGATCCAGGGCAACATGGGATTCAGAGAAGAGTCCCCTTCTAATTGTTGGAAGAGTTTATTAAGAATTAGTGTTAATTCTTCTTTAAATGTTTGATAGAATTTATTAGTGAAGCCATCTGTGTCTGAGCGTTTTTGTGGGAAGATTATTGATTACTAATTCAATCTCCGTATGTTATAGATCTATTCGTATTTTCAACTTTTCAGGTCAGTTTTGGTAACGTGTCTTTCTAGGAATTTGTCCATTATATCTAGGTTATCTAATTTGATGGTATACAGCTGTTCATAATATTCCTTCATTATCATTATTTCTGCAAAGTTTGTAGTATTATCCCTTTTCATTCCTGAATTTAATAATTGAAGTCCTTTTTTTTCTTGGCCAGTTTGCCAATTTTGCTGCTCTTTTCAAAGGCCACTTTTTAGTTTCATTGATTTTCCATTTTCTATTTTAATTTCACTCTAATCATTCTTTCTTTCCTTCTGCTTACTCTGGGTTTAGTTTTGCTTTTCTTCTAGTTTCTTATGGTATAAAGTTAACCAAATTTCCTTCTGTGCACTGCTTTCCTTTCATCCAATCCATTTTGTTGTGCTTTTGTTTTCATTCAACTCAAAAGTATTTTCTAATTTGTTTTGTGATTCCTGAATGATTAGTAAACATTAAGACATGGCAATAGAAATTATCAAAAATGAAGCAGTGGAAAATGAAAATAACCAAAAATTCAGCAGTAGAGCCTTGGTGATCAAGTGTCCCAATAGATGTGTAATTGTAATTACAGTGAGAGGAGAAAGAGGGTGAGAGAAAACTATTTGATGAAAGGGTACCTGAAGCTTGGTGAGTCCTAAAATACGAGAAGATGGATATCAAAACATTTCATATTCAAAATTAAACACTGAAAACCAGTGCTAATTATTATATCTTAAAAGCAGCCAGACGAAACAAGAAACAATGTAATTATATTACATACAGAGTAAGAAAAAAACAAATAATGCAAACCAGGAGAAAACACAGCAGAGTCTTTAAAGTACTGAAAGAAAAAAGCAACAACAAAAAACCAGTCAATCTGAAACAGAAATAGTAAAAATATCTTTCAAAAATTAAGATAAAAAACCCAATATAAATAAACAAACAAAAACATCACAAAAACAAAAAACCCTTTCCAGACATACAAAAACAGAATCTATGCTGAGTATTAGTGAAAGGAATGCTGAAATCAGTCTTTTAGGCAGAAAGAGACTGGTAACACACAGAAATCTGACTCTATACAAAGGAATGAAGAACACAAGAAATGGTAAACACATGAGTAAAATAAAACACTTTGTCCCTTCATTTTCTAAACCTTTAAAAGATACCTATTTAAAGGAAAAACAATTAAGAATGTATTATAGAAGTAAATTTAGGTATGCAAACAATAGCACAAAGGCTGGGAGGAAGAAAACAGACGTGTACTGTATGTAGTAAGGGTCTTACCCCATATGCGAAGGGGTATATTCTTTGAATTCAGACTGTGAAAATTAAAGATGTATACTGTAAACCTTATAAAACAATAATAAAGGTAAAATTAAATCATAAAAAATATTCAATTAATAAAAAATGATAGTAATATGTAATAACGCCCCAAATAAATACCCATTAAATTAAAGAAACAAACAAAAAGAAGAAATGGAGGGGAAGGGAAAGTTTTTTCTTTCCTTGCCACAGAAAGCCAGGTAATAAATGTAGAAACAAGATGGAACTTTTGAAAATCACCATTTTCCACTACCATAGGAGTAACTGCTTTAGGTTAAGATCACTCACTGATGGAGGCTAAGTGTTGTTGTGGTGCACTAGCAAGTCAATTCCAGTTCATGACAACCCTTCACGACAGGGTAGAACTGCCCCATAGGGTTTCCTAGGCTATAATCTTTATGGGAACAGATCACCAGGTCTTTTCTCCTGCAGACCCAGTGAGTGGGTTTAAACCATCAACCTTTCAGTTAGCAGCTGAGCTCTTAACCACTGTGCTAATACTAAAACCAAAATCAAACACACTGCCGTGAGTCGGATCTGACTCACAGCAACCCCTCCTTGGGTTTCCGAGGTGGTATCACTACAGAAGTAGATTGCCCCATCTTCCTTCCGAGGAGTGGCTGGTGGTTTGAACCGCCAGCCTTTTGGTTATCAGTCAAATGCCTTGGGCACTATGCTACCAGTTCCTTGCTAATACTAGTGGGTGGGAATTTCAGAAAAGGATGGTTTCAAAGTATCTCCCCACAAGGTAATTATTAATTACAAACAGAAAAACAATCAAAATAGTAACTTCCCAGTACAAATACCTTATAGATAATACTTTAACCAAGTAAGTAAAGTTAACATCAGGAAGAGGACAAATCAACAACATCATGTGCCACCTAATATGATGCATTGGGATTAACGCAACATCTGTGACATTCCTGCCAAATATTTTTAATTTAATCATGATGATAAGTAGACAAAGCCAAATCAGAGGACAATGCAAAATAATTGTGCTGTACTACTAAAAAATGTCAATGTCATAAAATACAAAGAAAGATTAACCAATTGCTCAATACTAAAGTGATACGATAACAATGTAAGGCATGATCCTGGATTTTCTTGTGCTATAGAAAGTACTGAAATAATTAGCAAAATCTGAGTATCTGACAGCTGTATTGTGATAATGTAAGAGAACAGAGGATGACTTTATTTTTTAAAGAGAGTTGAAAGGTGAGAGTAGGGAGGGAAAGGTGGAGAGGGACAGAAAGAAGAGAAGATGGGAGGGGATGAGATGGGATGAAAGCATAAAACAAATGTGGTAAAATGTTAATATTTGGGGAATTTAGATGAAGGATACACTTTTTTTCTTTCACTTTTTCTATCCATCTAAAATTATGTAAAATAAATATTTGAAAGTAAACACATTTTATATTCAACGAGCAAAAATAATTTTCTTTCTGTATAATCTCTTAAATTCCACTGTTCTAGTTATCTAAATTCTTAAACTCTTAATGAAACATCTGAAGGTTTTTTTTTTTTTAAATCCTGTTGTCCTTTTAAATAATAGGCCCATAGTGTATAAAGCAGTCCCTTCCTCCGTGAGTTATCTCATAACCCTCCTGCTAAGCTATCTGTGGAAATGCTTTCAGTCCTAACTCCTTCATAATTTGTTGTTCTATGGTTCTTCAGGGAGCTCTGGTAGCATAGTGGCTAAGGCACTTGACTGCTAACCAGAAGGCTGGAGGTTCAAACGCACCAGCCACTCCTCGGAAGGAAGATGGGGCAATCTACTTCCGTAGTGATACTGCCTCGGAAGCCCAAGGAGGGGTCGCTATGAGTCGGGGCCAACTCGACGGCAAATAACAACAATAACAACAACATGGTTCTTCAAAAAAAAAAAAAGTTTTTTAAGAGTACAGCTGGATATACATCCTTGGTTTAATGAAAATATTTATATGCAGTGAACAATAAAACAGATCTTTGACTGTATTATTACATTTAAACGAATTGCTTAAATAACTGAAATATAACTGTGAAATCCAGAATTGTCCTGGGAAACTATTTTAGAATAATGAAAAATATGACAAATAATTAACACTATAATGCAAAAAAATGAGCAATTTAAAGTTTTAAACATTAATATTTATTTGTATAATTTATTATATGTATGCCCATAATAAAAATTATGCTAGTTTTGCAACAACTGTAAGTTTTAACAAAGGTGATCTGACTATATAGAAGCTACAATTTCCTCATAGTTTTCCATTATTATTTTAAATATATCTCAATTTATTTTCAAGGCAAAAACCAGACGGGAAACAGTGAATACGCTTCATGATAAGCACAAATGGGAAAATCTAGAGGAAATATCATGGGATATATTATGAAAAATACAACTTCAGTTACACACTTGATTTGTGAAAGGTTTATGTAAACATAACATAAACACACTTAAAAATGAAAGCCAAGGACAATTACAAACTTTTTTCTATACTTAAAGAAGAGTAATTCAATCATAAGTTTAAATAATAGGTTAGTTAAAAAATCTTTTTTTAGATAGAAAAGTTCACAAAAAGAGGCAATCATCAATCATTAAATGTAATTTTTTTCCCCTGAAATATGGCAATTTTAGATTGCTGTTCTTTTTGCCTCCTGCTTGCTTCCCATGAAGGATGAAGAGGCAGCTGCAATTGCCGTTTTGCATTGTCAAGTCGTCTTTGTTTACTCTTAAATTGATTCTTGATCTGAGGTTCACTTTGCTGAAAATCTGGGAGAAGAAAGCAAAAATAATGAAAACTAACTACATATTTAAATAGCATTCCAGAGAAATAAGTTTCATGTTGTTTAAATCAATACTAGTTATACCTAGTTAAAGAGAATATCTTACAATTTTAAAATCTATGTCCAACAGAAAATATTTTGAACTTAAAAAGTTTACATATGAACAACCAATTGAGTCCTTCCTGAAAAATGCTATTCTGGCTTATTTACAGTGGCATAGAAAAAGAAATATGGTCCAGCCAACACGGAAAGCTGAGGAAGAAAAGGAGGGAACAGATCATATTTTCAAAGGAACATTATTAGCTAATGGTATCTGTGCACAGAGACATAGAAAATTCACTTTTAAAAATTACACTAAGACATTAAATCTAACAATTTTGACAGGAAAGAATTATTTTAAAGGGTTAATCGATTCTTCTACTTTCTATTATTGAACAAAACGATATTACAACATAAAGTACTATATCTGCTCAAGTATAAGACAAAGTTATTATTCTGTCATAAAATTATCCTCCAAGAATTCTGGTCTGTACAGTCTCTTACATCACAAGGCATTGCAATCACATTATTTTGAAAAACAAAATACTGTTTGGGGAAGACATACTGGCCTGAGAACACATGAATCAGGGAATGTCTGGATGCTTAGATGATGAATCCAAAAGAAAAAGCGAGGCAATATACAGTAAAACCTGTGAAAGTTAGATCCGATGTAAGGCAGAAACTTGTCAGAGAAGGAAAACGTAAGTATTTTCCACTAAAATGAGAGACAGGTAAGTGGTAAGACTGCATCTGTCAAAGGCAGAAAACTTCTGAGATCTGGAAAAACAAGGCAGTCTTATAGAATTCAGGTTCTCACAGATTTCACTACATATATATTTTCAATCAGTATTTTGTTGTTGTTGGGTGCCATCACGTAGAATTTTGACTCACAGAGACCCTATGTGACAGAATAGAACTACCCATAAGTTTTCTTGGCTGTAATCTTTAAAGAAGCAGAAAGCCAGGTCTTTCTCCTATGGAGCACCTGGGTACTTTAGAACTGCTAACCTTCTGGTTAGCAGGCAAGTGCTTAATTGTTGCTGTAATTAGACATCAATATCAAGAGCCTTTTAATTTAAAGATTTCTTTTAAAAAACAGTATCATAATATTTTACAGATGAATCATACAGTTTGGGATAAAACTTTCAAAACATCATTATACACAGAGCCAAATATTCTGTATCTTGTGGAAATCACATGGGCTCTAGAAATCTAATACTTAAAAAATGGCTCCAGTGATAGAGTGAAGAGTTTAAATGACACTGTTAGATGAAAACTGACATTTGAATATGGTAATATTTCCTGAGCATATAAAATTTAATATATTATTGAAAAGGAGCCTGGTGTCACAATAGTTAAGCACCCAGCTGCTAACTGAAAGGTTGTTGGTTCAAACTTACCAAGTAAGAGAAAGACCTGGTGATCTGCATCTATGAAGATTAAAAAAAAAAACAAAAAACCAAAAACCAAACTCACTGTTGTCAAGAACCACTGACCTTCTTGGTTAGCAGCCAGAGCTCCTTCTATGAAAATTATAGCCAAGAAAACTCTATGGGGAAGTTCTACTCTGTCACATGGAATTGCTAAGATTTGCAATCAACTTGATGGCACCTAGCAACAACAAAATTATAATAAATTAAATTTTTATGTGTAAGTAAATTTATAAATTAAATATTTTAAATATGCAAGTTAAGCAAGCAAACAAAAAAAACCTTTTCCTTAGATCTTCCCACTGAGACTGTCTACTTACAGTTATCCCATGTCTGAGAATATATGGTAAATGTGGCAGATTACCATGTGTTTCGTGTTTGTCAGATGTTCCCTTTAACTCCTAGGCAACCAGATTATATTTCTTATTCACCCTGCAGTTAGAAGAGGCCATATAACTGAGTTACAGTCAAGGACTGGGAACAAACGACCTGGACAATAAAAAACCTTGCTCCCTTCCCCAACCACTAGTTGAATGAAGAGAACTTCTAGGC